TGAGTTTTTTTTTCAAAGCCACAGGATCCCGGGTCCAGGGTCCACAGGGTCCAACCAGGCAGTTGGCCATGCTGGATCTTGCTGCCTTAAGCACCACACCACCGACCAGCTGACCCCTCCTTTCATTCTTTCGTTACTCCTAGAAATTGCAGTATTTCAACCCTGGACCATGCCCTTTTGTAGACAGTTGTATAGACACTAAGTATAATTTTGCAACTTTGTCTTTTCAATAGTGCTAGACCAACTTTTCTTATTATTACATCTTGTCTTGCTTAATACAATAAATTTTCAAAATATTTTTAAGTCTAACTTGCTTTTAAAATTATTCCATTTAGCCTCAAAGTAATGGTTCTATTTTGATCATTTTTCCTGGCTTACTTTTCCCATAAATTTTAAATACCATTTCTTCCTTTTCCCTGGAAATCCCCTGTTTATTCAGTAAACGTTATGTCAATGCTCAGTTAAGGTGTATGGTCCTAAATGAGGGTCCTATAAACATCTGTGCATGTGGTGGGGGAGGGGTCAGGGGCAGTCGGCAATATCATTGTGCTTGTGGTGGCACAGTTCAGTAGCCTGGTACAGGTATGGATCTGAGAAAAGCAGGAGCTCGGGTGTACCCGAAGTAGTCCCTCCCACTTCCTTTTCTCCCTTTCTCTCCATCCATCTCCTCCCACCACCCCCCACTGTGTTCTCTGACATGGGATGGGTTATACACAAACTTTACAAGGAAAATAGACATTTGTAGGTGATCATAATGATCACTATAGGCCCAGTCTTCTAGCAAAAGTCTGTTTACACAATGATCCTGGGTCAGTCTGGACCCATTACCTCATCCAGTAGAAGACCCCATTAATTTCCAGCTTCTCCACATTCTTCTCTTATATTTATTGTTCCCTGCAGTGGGCTGAATTCATTTTGTTTGCCTGCCTTCTGCTGGTGGTCTTCCTGATCTTCTCCATCATGGCCTACTATTACATTCCTGTAACTGCAGAGAAAATTCAGGGGTCGGAAGATAAGAAGATTCCCCATATCCAAGGAGACATGATCAACCTAGAAACGCAGAAGACCAAGCTCTGATGACTCCCTGGACTCTAACCTGACCCCAGGTCCTAGCCATGGGCTTACCCATCACTCATTCTCAAGCATTGTTCCCCCTCTACTGGATTAGGCAAAGAGGTAGCGTCATATCTGAGCTGACTTCCTGCACCTTTCTCCCATGATAGAGGCAGTTCGAGGACAGTTGGTTATGTCTTCGAACAAGATCCCTGAGACTCAGTGTCTTCCCTTCTTTTTGTGAACTCAGTAAACCTTGTATAGTGTTTCTAAAACTGGACTGGTATCTCCAAATGGCTGTAAAAATACAAACATGTAGTTGGGCTCAGTCTCTGAGTAGTAGTTACGTGGGATTCCTTTACAGGAACCTGCCATTTAGAACTAATGACCTCACTTTTTTAAGGTGCTAATTTAGAGACAAAATAGAAGAATAATAGATAAATTTTAAGTTTTTAAGTTTCGTTATAAGCAATATAAGTGTGTTATTCATAGGGGCCTCGTGGTGTGATCTAGTCCACGGCTGGCTGGTCAGCTATTCAGATTTCATAAGACCTTAATAATTTTTACTACAGATTGTAGTAGACAGAATGCCATTTTACCAACACATAGGACAAGCTGTATATTTCTGGTTATTACGGTATTTTGTCTACTTACCCAAATTCTCCTTTTCAGTTTTGATAGATCCTGGAAACCAGGTTAAAGATATTAAATGTTAGTAAACATGGTTCTAGAGAGCAGGTATAAGGTGTAGAAATCCCAATGAACTATTCTTTTTTTTTCTTTTCTTTTCTGTTATCAGGTGTGTACACTCACCAGAGAGAGACAGAGAGAGAGAGAGGAGAGGGAAAATGAGAAGTTATTCCCCAGGGGAAATGGCTGTGCCACAATCCCTTTTCCTTATTATTTCCTTATTCCATGTATGTATATACGACATGGGTCTCTTTCTTTCTTTCTTTCTTTCTTTCTTTCTTTCTTTCTTTCTTTCTTTCTTTCTTTCTTTCTTTCTTTCTTTCTTTCTTTTCTTTCTTTCTTTTTTTCTTTCTCTCTCTCTCTTTCTTTCTTCTTTTTCTTTCTTTCTTTTTTTCTTTAGAGGTTTTTGCCTTAGGGCATGTGCATTTGGGTGGGGGGTGGGAGAAGAGACAGTGAGAGAGAAAGTGAGAAACTAACCCTTGGGGGGATGGTCACGCAGCAATCCCTTCTCTTCCATTCTCCTCCCAGGATCTTGGGCACACATACACATGCGCCCGGCGTGAGTCTCAAGCCACTGGGTTAGTCAGCTATGAGGGAGTCCAGCGACATAACCACTGAGCTATGTTTTTCAAGCCACAGGATCCCGGGTCCAGGGTCCACAGGGTCCAACCAGGCAGTTGGCCATGCTGGATCTTGCTGCCTTAAGCACCACACCACCGACCAGCTGACCCCTCCTTTCATTCTTCCGTTACTCCTAGAAATTGCAGTATTTCAGCCCTGGACCATGCCCTTTTGTAGACAGTTGTATAGACACTAAGTATAATTTTGCAACTTTGTCTTTTCAATAGTGCTAGACCAACTTTTCTTATTATTACATCTTGTCTTGCTTAATACAATAAATTTTCAAAATATTTTTAAGTCTAACTTGCTTTTAAAATTATTCCATTTAGCCTCAAAGTAATGGTTCTATTTTGATCATTTTTCCTGGCTTACTTTTCCCATAAATTTTAAATACCATTTCTTCCTTTTCCCTGGAAATCCCCTGTTTATTCAGTAAACGTTATGTCAATGCTCAGTTAAGGTGTATGGTCCTAAATGAGGGTCCTATAAACATCTGTGCATGTGGTGGGGGAGGGGTGTTAGACTATGAGGCACACGTGTGTGTGCACATATAGGCACATACGCTAATGAAAAAAGTTGAAGAGCACTACTTTACACACAATGAATGAATCAGGACAGACAGGAACCATCATTACTGTGCAGTGTGTGACTGGGGAAGAAAAGTTCAGAACCACTTGCTAGAGAGCCTCATTTCCATTTGTTTTAGTATATTATTCTCATCTAGAACCATGCTGGGTCTCATATTGCTCGTGTAAAAGGTAAGAGAATTTTCTCCATTTCCCAAGCTGTATATACGTCAGTCTTAGTGACCAAGGTTTCAGCAAAGTGGGGCAAACAGTACCACCTAGTTTTCCCAGATGTGAATCTGATCCTCCTCCTTTGGAAGACAGCCTGCTCATTTTTTATGCAACTTTCATCTAAACTGTTTTATAACTATTCTTTCAAGAAATGTTAACAGTGCTCTGTGAATAAAAGTGTCTATAGACAGGAACTGGTAGGTGGTGTGGTGGTTAAGGTACTGGATCCCATATGACCAACTCCACAATTTGAGTCCCAGACCTGAAGAACTGAAAATCACACCAGGTATGTGTGCATGCGTGCATGCCCAGAATTCTGAAAGGAGAATGGACGAGAAGAGATTGTGGCATGGCTATCTCTCCTGGGGGGGTGCTTTCTCACTGTCTCTCTCTCTGTTTCTCTCCAGTGAGCTTACACAGCCTGTGACAAAAAATCTAAATTAAAATTAAAAAGTGTCTATGGACAAATAAGTTTGGGAGAGAGGATACTATGTATTCTTCCTAATATATGCATATTAAAGACTCCGAGGTAGCCTGTGATAAAGACACAAGGCACTTTGTGTAACCTAGTAAGGCAGAGCATAGTGGTCTTCAGAACACGGCTTTGGAAAAGCTATTGGATAATTCTTTCTTAATCTGAATTAAGAGCTTCCTCTTTCAAATACCCTAGTATTGGTTCTTTCTTTATAGTGAACAAAGATAAGTATAATCCACCTTTTTAAAAATAATTATTTATTTTAATTTTATTTATTTAGTCATTCATTTATTTTAATTTGACCAGAGAGAGAAGGAAAGTGAGAAAACAAGCCACCAGGTCCGGGACTCAAACTGTGGTCAGCCATGTGCAAGTGTCCAGTACCTAAACCACCACACCACCTGCTGACTCCATAACCCCCTTTTTGATATGACAGACTTGTAGCTAGTTGAATAGAGATTTTGTGGCTGTCCTTTCACCATCCTGGTTCCCCTTTTCTGAAAAATATCCTTTGCTTGGAATATAACAATAAAGATGAAGACATCTTGGGGCTAGGTGGAGGCACAATGGTGGTACAGCTGGACCCACATAGAAGGGGTTCTGAGACTTCCTAGAGCATGCTGGCCATTCCTGCATGCCTGTGATCTGGGCAGGCTGGGACTGGGGGTGGATAGCAGCAAAGGGACCTTCCTGAGGTTGCCTGTCTTTCTGTCTGTCCGTCTCTCTCTCTCAGTCTTTCTCCCTCTCATGGAAGAAATAAATAAATTAAATTTTTAAAAAGATTAAGATATTTTATTGTAATACCTGGTTCCAAATATAACATTCCAAAAGTGGTCTGACTGGAAGAACAAGCACCTGCCTCTCCCCAAACAATGCACCCCTGTTAATACAGTGTGAGGTAATATTAGACGTTTTGTAAACTACATCACGATGCAGGTTGGTATTCTGATTACATGACTGGCTGAAACCGCAAAGGTTTTGAAGAAACTATTGTTTATCTACATACATCTTAGAGTTCCACTTTCCACCACCTACTGAGTTAACTATTGGAGAAATGAAGATGACAAATCCTCTATACCTGTTCTCAAGGTTACCCTGCTTATTTTGAATGACTGGCAAAATCCTGGAGGGTGCCAAGGCCTTGAGGAAGTAGTTGTGTAAGGAGGGCGAGCAAGAAGAGAAGCATGACCAGAGTAAGAGTAAGGGGCAAAGAGACAGAAGACTCAGTCAGGGGAAGTGAGGGATGGATCAAATCATGTGGGCCTTGCCACCATGGCAAGACATTCTGATGTTATTCCAAGGGAGATGTGAAACTGCTGGAGGTTTAGAACACAGGACTGACATTAGATACTCCATGTAAGATCAGTCTGACTGCTGAGTAGAGAATTGTCCATAGTCAAGAAGGAACAGAAACGGGAATCCAGTTAGGAGGCTTTTGTGCTAGTCTAAGCAAAAGATAACTGTGACTTGGACCAGGTGATAACAGTGGAGGTAGAGACAGTGGTTTGACTGGGAATTCAACTGTAGGGTAAAACCAACGTGATTTGAGTTGGGTTTGGAAATGCTGTTAAGAAGGAAGAAATCAATGCAGACTCTAGATTAGAGTCTGAATAATAAGAATGAATCACAGTGCAATTTTCTGGAGGTAGAAACAATTATGGCAAGAACAGATTTAGGTGTAAAGTAACTGAAAGTTTTGTTTTGGGCACATGGACCTCAAATTGGTATCCAGGTGTAGAAACCAGGCTGGCAGCTTCATATGTGAGTCTGACATGCAAGAAAGAGGTTGGATCTAGAAATATAAAAACTTGAGGGGCCAGCCTGTAACACGGTGGTTAAGTCGCAGGACCCCACACTCTGAACAGTTCCAGTTCCAGACCCAGCAACTTGAAAAACATGCCAGCTGAATGTGCATGTGTGTCTCCCAGAGGAGAATGGAGAAGAAGGGATTGTGGTATGGCCATCACCCTGGTTGGGGGGTGGGGGGGGTGCTTTCTCACTTTCCCTCTTTCTCTTTTTATTTTTTTCCAGTGAGCACATGTGCCCTATAGCAAAAAAACAAAAACAAAAACAAAAAACAAAAAACCCAAAAAACAACAACAACAAAAAACCTTGAAAACAATCAGCATATAAACGGTATTTATTTTAAATTTTGCATATGCTCACTGGAGAGAGACAAAGACAGAGAAAGAGAGGGAAAGTGAGAAAGCACCTGTGCTTTCTCTTTTGAAAATGCAAATCATTGCTCTTCTGCTTAAAACCCCTATTTATTTTAAGGATAAACTTCCAATTTGTTAACAAGGTCATCAAAGCCCTATTTGCTCTGCCCCCTACCTCCCTATCCAGCCTTATTCCTGCTTCTGGCCATTGTCAAATTGCAAATTCTCACTTGCACATGTATACACACATCTGTTGAGGTCACAATCAGAAGTGCACGGCATCCACAGATTAGTTCGGAAAGATTTGGCATTTTTTCCGAAAGTGAGTCTTCCAAATATGTAGTATCTTTTATTTCCTTCCTTCTACTTACAGATTAATTTCCTTTTCTCTTTTTAATTTCTTTTTTTATTCTCATTTTTAAATTAATTTTTCTTTTTTAACATTAATACGCTATACATTGTTACAGTATACAAAATAAATTTTCCATCCAAAATACACTGTTGGCTCAATCAAGCACATCAACATA